CCCAGTAGTAGCACCCTCAGGCTCAGCACCCCCAGGCGTAGCACCCACACGCTCAGCACCCCCAGAGTCAGCACCCCCAGGCTCAGCACCCTCAGCAGCACCAGAGTCACCAGTAACCTCGACAGGCTCGACTGCGTCTACCTGGGACACACCTGAAGGGGCAGGACCCTGAGGGGGGAGAAGGTCTACCGGGGGGGGACCTGGCACAAGGAGGAGCGGTGGCGGGGGGAGGGACGGAGTGCGGTAGGGGAAGAGGCGGTAGTAGGGGACCGACTCGTCAAACGTGATGTCCTGGGAGGACAGAACACGGCGAGAGGTGGGGTGGTAGAACTGCCACCCTGGCGCGTCAGGGGGGAAGCCAAGGAAGACGCAAGGAGCAGCACGAGGGGACAGCTTGTCCGCAGACAAGTCGCGGACAAACGCCCAAGATCCCCAGACACGGAACGCAGACACATCGCCTACCTTCCCCGTCCACAGCAAAGCTGGGGAGGTCTCCGGCATGGAGACCCTGGGGTGAAGGTTGATCTGATGCGCCGCGTACCGAACCGCAAACGGCCACAGAAAATGGGGGGCAGCCGCATGCATCATGGACGTACGGGCGACGTCCATGACCATGCCAATGCGGCGCTCAGCAATCCCATTTTGCTGTGGAGAGTCCGGAAGCGTAAAGGTCTGGCGGATGCCTCGCGCACGACAGTAGGCTCGCAGAAGGCCGGAGGAGAACTCTCCGCCTCTGTCAGAGTGCAGACGCAGAACAAGAAAGTCCGAGCCGAAGCTCTGCCTGAGCTGGAGACGAGCTGCGCGGATCCAGTCGATCAACACCTCAGTGACATCACCCTTGCTGCGCAAGGGGAAGACTGTGGTATAACGCGAGTAGTCGTCAACCACCAGCAGGAAGTAGCGCTCGTGACCCTGTCCGCGGACGCGGGCCGGGCCCCACACGTCCATGTGAAGCGTCTGCAGCGGGGCCTCTGTCGGGGGAAACTGAGAGGAGTGAGGGGCAGCCCGCAGCCGCCCCTCGACACAAGGGACGCAGGTGGGGCCAGGCCCCGGAGGAAGGGGAGGGAGGGACCGGGGAAGACCAGAGACAAGGACACGGGAGGCCATGCCTCGGAGACGAGGCAGGGAGGGGTGACCAAGGCGGTGGTGCCAGAGGAGAGTCTCGTGAGACAGGAAGCGACACGAGCAGGGGGCAGACTCAAGACCAGACCTGGACGCTGCAGCAAACACCTGACCCGACGCAGCTACCTGACTGGACGCAGGGACAGAAGGAGACTCAGTGGTCAGGGTGTACAGGCTCGACCCCGACCGACGCGTAAACGTGGACAGGTGCCGGCCTGTGCGAGCGTCCGAGCAGTGAGTCACCCGCTGACTCGCAGGAGTAAACTAGTGAACCCCCGCATCCTGTAGGTCAGCACCACTCACCATGTTCGTAGAGAACGAGGGGAGGTACAAACCAGACAAGGTGCTAGAGGGGGCCGCCGGACACGGGAGGACAGTGGAGAAGTGAGAAAGGACAGGACCCCCAGAGGGGTCTACCAGGGAGAGTGCAACCGGCCGACCAAGCGGCGTGAGTGTGGTGCAGGCTCGAAAGAAGGAGCGAGAAGCCCCTGAGTCAAGTGTGAAGGTGAGGGAGGCCGAAGCCGACGCAGTACCTGCGAGCGCAGACTCACCAGCACCTGAGGACGCAGACGCACTAGCACCTAGAGCAGCAGCCTCACTAGCACCTAGAGCAGCAGCCTCACCAGTACCTAGAGCAGCAGTCTCAATGCCCAGGTCGGGCGGGAAACACTGGTAACAGTCACCCTCATCACTAATAGACACAGCATACATGGCAGAAAGGATAGCATCAAAATCAAGATCATAGATGGCAACTCCCGCCCTAGACAGCTCGCCCCAGCGAGGGATCTCTGTGGCCTTAGGGAACTGGTGACGCCACGCGTCCGTCAGGCGGCCAAAGCAGCGCTGGGTGGGGTGCGTACCCCCACACTGCTCACCCGCACGGTCGCCGTTGCGCAGGACGTAGGTGCACGGACCAAAGCCCCCACCCCGCTGGTGTGCTGTGTACCACTCACGGAGCTGCTGAGGGGACAAGGTCTCACGACCGCGCTGCTGCTGCTGGCGCGGACCACCACCGGAGCCACTCCTCTGGGTAGACCCGCGACCAGCTGCACCGCCACCCCCGCCGTCTCCGCCGCCTCCGCTACTACCGCCGCCTCCGCCGCCTCCTCCACCGCCACCACCTCCGCCACCTCCGCTCCCACCGCCACCGCCGCCGCCGCCTCCGCCTCCACTGCCGCCACCGACACCTCCACCCCCACCTCCACTCCCACCGCCACCCCCACTCCCCCCGCCGCCTCCACCTCCACCTCCACCGCCCCCGCTCGCTCCTCCAGCGCCCCTGCCCCCCTTGCCCCTGCCAGAGCGGCGTCTCCCGCTAGAGGCAGACGCCGCACCGACCGACTCAAGACCAAGGAGGTCGGCCGCAGCAGCAGAGGCAACAGAGGGCAGAAGGGGGGAGGGGGAACACCACTCAAAGATGGGGGTGCGCGGGTCACCACGAGAGGCCCCTACAGCGACTATGCTCTTCTCGGCCGCTAGGAGGGACTTCTCGAGGAGGTCAACGGTGAGAGTGGTGGGACAGACTGAGAGGAAGTGGTCCTTGACTACGCGAAGGGAGTCAGGGAGGCGAGTGACTATGTAGTAGAGAGTGATGTACATGGGGGGGGGGGGTTCTTGGCGCAGAAGTCAGCAGGAAGCGCAGCGCGGTAGCGAGTGTCACTAGTGCGGAGGTGCGTAATGAGGTCAGCGACTGTGGGAAAGGCAGCAAGGTCAGGGAAGTGGTACGGTAGCATGAGACGGCTCAGTGCAGCAGTGGCAGGGGAGGAGTAGCGTGTAACTACAGCGTCGTACAAGGTCTGAGCACTCTTGTACTGACTAAAGTGCGCACGCTCAGAGGTAGGGAGGTGGCGACGCACAGCAAGACGTGCAGCAGCATCGCGCGTGGCCCACTGTGAGCGAACAGTGGCGTCAGCATCTGCAGGAAGAGCAGGAGAGGCACCAGAGGTGAGGTAAAAGAGGGAGAGACCGTCTGCCCTATCGCACTGTAAGAACAGCTGCAGGTCATCTACCCAGACGTCAAAGTCAATGGCTCGACCCTCGGCGTCAAAAGCGAGGACACTAGGGGTAGCCATGACAACAGTAGACTAGCAGCGCTAACTGTAGAGCAGGGGCAGTGCAGTGACAGAGGCGCTGCGCTCACCAGACAGGGTGGTTCGGGCAGCTCGGGCGGCTCTGCAGCAACTGCGGCTCGGCGGCACCCGCGGCTCGGCTCCTTAGCTGCTCAGGCGGCTCGGGCGGCTCGGGCGGCTCGGGCGGCGGGGGCGGCTCGGGAGGCTCGGGCGGCTCGGGCGGCACGGGTGGCTCGGGCGGCTCGGGCGGCTCGGCTGGGTAGGCGGTTCAGGCGGGGCCGTAGGTAGGGCGACGGGGCCGGGTCGAAGGTAGGGCGACGGGGCCGGGTCGAAGGTAGGGCGACGGGGCCGGTGCGCATGTAGGGCGACGGGGCCGGGGCCGGGGCGCAGGTAGGGCGACGGGGCCGGGTCGAAGGTAGGGGGACGGGGCCGGGGCCGGGCCGTAGGTAGGGTGACGGGGCCGGGGCCGAGCCGTAGGTAGGGCGACGGGGCCGGGTCGAAGGTAGGGCGACGGGGCCGGGCCGTAGGTAGGGCGACGGGGCCGGGTCGACGGTAGGGCGACGGGGCCGGTGCGCAGGTAGGGCGACGGGGCCGGGGCCGGGGCGCAGGTAGGGCGATGGGGCCGGGGTCGGAGGTGGGGCGACGGGGCCGGGGTCGCAAGCGGGGCGACGGGGCCTAGGCGCAGGTAGGGCGACGGGGCTAGGGCCGGGGCCGCAGGTATGGCGATGGGGCCAGGGTCGCAAGAGGGGGGCGACGGGGCCGGGGTCGCAGGTAGGGCGACGGGGCCGGGGCGCTGGTAGGGCGACGGGGCCGGGGCGCAAGTAGGGCGACGGGGCCGAGGCGCAGGTAGGGCGACGGGGCCGCTAGGGCGACGGATCAGGGGCCGCTAAGGCAGCGCGACTTGGCCGCTAGGGCGGCTCGACGAAGTCAGAGAAGGGAGCGCGACTCGGGCAAAGCGCGCTCCGGGCAGGAAAAAAAATTTCGACTTGGTGGGCCCTAGGCACAGTTCCCACGAGGGAACCTGCTCGATACCATGAGAAAACTGAAACGAGAATGGATGACTAAGGAATGAAAGTGATACAAGTATGCAACCCTAGCATTTTGTACCCCATAAAGGCTACCCCACTACAGCCTACACAACATTATAATTTGACACATTTATATGCGAAACATGCAAACGGTAACGCGGTGCGTGCGAGCTAGCTAGTGCTACGCTGGAAACGAGGCTCGGGCTAGTCCCGAAGCGTAGGCCGACACGGCCAGGCCAGCAGTGCGAGGTTTGGTGAAACATTGTGCGCGAAGTCGGCGAAGCCCCGTTAGCAGTAACGGGCGAACAACGGCTGTTGCTGTACGCGATGTAGTCGGGCTCCGTAAGGAATGCCGAGAAAACTCCTTACAGATACAAAGATGTCCCGCAAAATAGCATCTTCATGTTCTCAAGGTGATGTGAAAAAGATGCAACCAGTGATGAACTGGAACCGGCCGGGGATCTATGACTATTATGTACCCTATACGTCAGCCGGGAATCGAACCCGGATCTTCTGCTTGGAAGGCAAATATCCTAACCATTGGACTACTGACGTGCTGGTATGTTATATTAAGTTAAAAATAAGATCGTGACAGCTCTCGAGACATCTATTTGTTCTGCTCTGTGTGCGCCTCGTCAACTTTAGCATTTGCTGAATGCTTGAAAATACAGTCTCAGAGCGATCTAGGCGAGATTGACGGAACGTTGGCGCGAAAACACTAACCCGAAGCCCCACCGTTTTCGCGCACCTCGCCTCCCTCTTCGCATCCCACAACGCCGCCATGGCGAAGAATCCCGCAGCTGCTCCATCGCCCAGCGGCACCGCTAACCCTAATCCTGTCGACATTGCAAATCCCGCCGCCGGGACCCGCGCCGACGCCAGCGCGGACGGAGTCTGCGGTGCCGGCGGAAGCGGCGTGGCGCGGAACGAGCGGAAGGAGCGGAGGGAGCGGATAGAGTCGCTGGGATGGCTGACGGAATCGGCGCTGATGCCGAAGAAGCAGCGTTTTATCGAGGGAGTGAGCGCGGGCAGCCTGGTGTCGCTGCGCGCCGAGCTGTACAAGAGCCAGGAGGACGCCAAGCGCGCCAAGGAGGAAGGCGGCGGGGAGCCGCGGGTTAGGCGCGCGGGAGGCGGAGCGGAAGGGGGGCCCGGGGACCTGTTTGGGGGGAGAAACGCGGGGGTTGAAGAACGCGCGCATAGGTGGGGCTGGCGCGTCTTCTGGTCTCCCGATCCCCGCCCTTCCCCGCCCTTCCCCTGGTCCCTCACCCATTCCCCACATTCTCCCCCTCCCGGAGGCGCACTGCAGCGAAGGGCGCAGAGCGTCGGGGCAGCCTCCCCTCTCTCCCCTCCCCTCTTCCCGACGCAACCTCAGTTATTTCCGCTCGCACTCGCCCCTCTTCTTCCCCCCAACTCACTCACAGATCCAGTGTCGCGAAAGGCGGACAGGGGCTCAGTGGGCAACGTGAAGCGCCAAGTCCCATCCATGCCACGATATGCTTACCCAGTCCCCGCCTCTTCCCTCCCCGACCCCCTTTCCCCGCCCCCCCCGCACCAGGGACGCGCTGCAGTGGAAGGCGGAGAGGGACGTGGCGGGACATCTGGAGCGCAAGGCAGCCATTTACGCGCGCCTGGCCAGGGGGGAGCGCGCCGATGGGGAGGGCGCGCAGGGGGAGGGGGCGGATTGGGCGGGGGTAGAGGAGAAGTACAGCGTTGACTTCCTGAGGCGGGGCACACTGGAGGAGGAGAAGCAGGAGATGGAGCGTGAGAGGCGGGGAGAGGCGGCGCTGCTGCTGGGGGGGACAGAGGGGGATGGGGGAGATGGAGGGAGGGATGGGGGCGGAGCGGCAGGTGTGGTTGCAGGAGGGGGAATGGCTTCCACACAGAGGGAACTGATCAGGTGGGCGCAGTGCCAGCAGTTTCCAACTTTCTTGCGCGTTTGGCTGTGACGTTTGCTTTCAATGTGGCACGATCGCACAGCGATGTTTGCAGGCACGGAGGGAGCAGTGTTTCTGATCGGCGCATCAGTCCTTTCTGCCTCTTGCGATGCATGGGATTGAGCAACACGGACCTCAGTTTTCGTCTTGTACCCCATGCACATCATTCCTGTACCTTTGTCTCCTTGCATCGCATCCCTCTTTATGGCTTGGGGACAGGGAGGTGATTGAGGAGACGCGGACAGCACGGGAGAGAGCAGCGCTGCTGAAGGCCAAGAGGCAGCAGCAGGCAGAGCAGAAGAGGGAGAAGCTTCGTGCTGCCTTCCTCAAGCAGCAGCTGCTGAAGGAGAAGGCAAAGAAAAAGGATTCAAAACAGGCAGGAGGAAAGGATGGGGGTGGGGAAGGAGGACACGCATAAATCGTTTGTTATGTTGTATATATTGTGTTGATCTCAGGCCTTCAAAGAAGCAAGCGCAGGCATCACTCAAATTCACGTTGTTATCAGAGCATTATTTCTTTCTCGTTATTTACTTGGAAACTATGCTAGTGAACCCAATTGTCATGTAGTGGTAAGCCTTCGGTATCGCATCGCGCTTCTGTCGCGAACCTTGGGATATTCGTGGACCTTACTGCTCGCCATTTCCTATCTTTGCTTTCCTCGCTGTCATTCCCGAGGCTCGAAATCCAACTCACGCAAACCCCTTCGTCCCTAGCCTCATCCAAAAACCATTTTCCATCTGCTGGATTCCTTCCTGAACACGCGGGATCGCCATGGCGGATGACGCCAAGGGGCCAGAAGGCACGGAGGAGAATCGCGACAATGCGCGCGAAACAGGCAAGCTTTCGATTCCCGTTTCCCTGCGTCGATTTCGGTGCTGTAGCGGCTGAGAACTCCGTTCTCCCCGTTTGATTTCGTAGTAGTTGCGGCTGTCGCTTTGGGTTGCAATCGGTCGTTTTCTCCGTGAATCGCTGCGTCTAACGCGTGCTCTGGTTCGCCTGCAGAGGAGGTCCGGGCGCTCAAGTCGACGCTGCGATTCCTCGTGTCGAACAGCGACGCGGGGTCCATCATTGGCAAGGGCGGCGTCGTGATCTCCGAATTCCAAACTCAATCTGGCGCGAAAATAGTGCTGTCACGCGCGCGAGAATACTTTCCCAACACCACGGACCGCATCATTCTCCTCAGCGGCAGCGTCAGCGCCATTCTCACCGCTCTCCACCTCATTCTATCCAAACTCGCTGATGTACGCACCCGGCTCCCATCCCCATCGCCGTCATCATCCCCAGTCCCGTCCCCATCCCACGTCCCCATCCACATTCACATCCCCATCCCCATTCCTTCCCCGTCCACATCACCACTCCCATCCCCGTCCATCCCCATCCCCGTTCTCTTTCTGCAACCTCGTTTCGTACTTCCTCTCGCGAACGAAAGGCGAACGCCCGTATGCTTCCTCCCTGCTTCCTGGATTCCATTCCTTCGTCGATATTTCGCCTCTCTGAAACGTTGCATGCCCGTATTCCCGTGCTGACAGGAGCCGCGGCGCAACGAGCCGGGCGCGCGGGAGGGCGACGCGGATCTCCGCATCGTGGTGCCCAACAGAGTGTGCGGCGCCATCATCGGCAAAGGCGGCGCCACCATCCGGTGAGGAGCCCTTCCGTCAGGTGCGACGTGGTGCCGTCAGGTGCAGCGTGGTGCTGTCAGGTGCCGCATGCTGCCGTCACTATGCCTTCCCCCCCCCACCCTTCCACGCCCCCCTCAACCTTTCCGCCATTCGTGCCGACTCCGTCTTCCCCGCGCAAGTCGTTCGTGGAGGACTGGTAGGCCACCATCACGCTGTCGCCTTGACGTGTTCTCACCCTTCTCTCCTCCATGTCGCCTCCTTATTCCCCCCCCTGCCTCCCCCACACCGCCCCTCCCCCACCCACGCAGGTCGTTCGCGCAGGACTCGCAGGCCACCATCAAGCTGTCGCCTAGATGTGCTCTTATGCAGCCCCTTCCTCGCAACTTCCTTATCCTCCCCCGTTGCCTCCCGCGGTACCGCCTCCCCCACGCAGCTCGTTCGTGGAGGACTCGCAGGCGACCATCAAGCTGTCGCCGCAGGACGCGGTGGGGCCGGGATTCGCGGAGCGCGTGATCACGATAGGGGGCACGCTGGAGCAGAAGCTGCGCGCGGTGGCGCTGCTGCTCACCAAGATGTCGGAAGACCCCACCTACGTGCAGTATGCTGATGTGCCGCTCTCCTACACCGGTGAGCAGAGGACCATCGTATCGTATCATATCATATCATATCACTCCTTGGGTGAGCCACGTGCCGCTCTCCTACACCGGTGAGCCACGTGCCGCTCTCCTACACCGGTGAGCCACGTGCCGCTCTCCTACACCGGTGAGCCACGTGCCGCTCTCCTACACCGGTGAGCCACGTGCCGCTCTCCTACACTGGTGAGCAGAAGCCCTTGTACCTGCATGCGACGCACTCGCTCTCTCTCCTGCTTTCTTACGTTGTCAGCGTCCATTCCACTCCGCTCCGCTCCACTCCACTCCACTCCACTCCACTCCACTCCACTCCACTCCACTTCACTCCACTCCACTCTGCTCCACTCCACTCCACTCCCACTCCCACTCCCACTCCCACTCCACTCGACTGTTCTCCACTCCACTCCACTCCACTCCACTCCACTCCACTCCACTCCACTCCACTCTGCTCCACTCCACTCCACTCCCACTCCCACTCCCACTCCACTCGACTGTTCTCCACTCCACTCCACTCCACTCCACTCCACTCCACTCCACTCCACTCTTCTCCACTCTTCTCCACTCCACTCCTCTCCACTCCACTCCACTCCACTCCACTCCACTCTTCTCCACTCTTCTCCACTCCACTCCTCTCCTCTCCACTCCACTCCACTCCACTCCTCTCCTCTCCACTCCACTCCTCTCCACTCCACTCCATGCGATTCCACTCTACTCTATTGCACTCCACTTCACTCCACTTCAATCCGCTCCACTCCACTCAACGCCTCTCCACTCCACTCCATTCCACTCCTCTCCAATCCAATCCACTCCACTCCACTCCACTCCACTCCACTCCACTCCACTCCACTCCACGCCACTCCCACTCCCAATCCCACTCCCACTCCCACTCCCACTCCACTCGACTGTTCCCCACTCCACTCCTCGTTACTCCACTCCACTCTTCTCCACTCCACTCCACTCCACTCCACTCCACTCCACTCCACTCCACTCCACTCCACTCTTCTCCACTCCACTCCACTCCACGCCACTCCACTCTACTTTACTGCACTGCACTCCACTCCACTCCACTCCAACCGCTCCACTCCACTCCACGCCCCACTCCACTCCACGCCACTCCACTCTACTTTACTGCACTGCACTCCACTCCACTCCACTCCAACCGCTCCACGCCACTCCACTTCACTCCACCCCACTCCCCTCCACTCCCCGCCCTCTCTTCCACCGCGCTGTTCCTTGCAGGTGCGCCAGGCAGGGGTGGTTACAATGGCGGCCCAGGCGGTTACGGGGGTTACGGGCAGGGCCAGGGCGCTTATCCAGGTTACCCCAACCCTGGGGGGTACGGCGGAGCTCCGTATGGCGGGGTGAGGGGGCCGCCCCCGTATGGCATGCCAGGGGTGCCTCCTAACCGGGGCAAGGTGCGTGGGGGCTGGGAGTGGGGCGAGGGGCATGGGCTGGGGTGGGGCAAGCTGCATGGAAGGTGCTCTTGATGGTGCTGCCAGCTGTGTGCGTGGAGGGGCCTACTCATGGGTGTATCAGCTACGCTGATGGTCAGGCAAACGGTTTAATGATGTGATGTGAGGTGATGAAAGCGGGAGATAGGGTTGTGAGCCCCTTCAAGTGAACCACTCGGCTAATGCTTCAAGCTGAAGCAAGCCGTCCTTGTAACATGATATCCTGTAGGGAATCGTTGGGGTTTACTATATGCTCCCTCATTCTCTGGCAGTCGCTGGCCTCCCACTCTCTCTCGCCATCCACACCACGGACAGCTGGGAGGGTGCCTTCAGGGAGGGATTGAGGTGGAGAAGGATGGAGAGGGGTAGAGAGGGGTGGAGAGACTCAGTGACACTGCTGTTCATGTCTCCCCACCCCATCATTCTCTGGTCTTGGTAGGGAGGGGGGATGAGGGGTGTGGGTATGAGAAAGGCATGCTGAAAAAACAAAGCCGTGAATTGATGCTGTTTACATTAGCGGTAGCCTCTCTCTCTGTCCCTACATCCAACCCTCCGTTCCCTCCCTCCACTCCTGCGCAGCAGGCAGCCCCACCAATGCTACCGGGGGGGGTGGTACCGACGACCATCATAGTGGCGGTGCCGGATGACCACGTGGGTGCTGTGGTGGGCAAGCAAGGCCGCTCCATCAACGAGATCCAACAGGTGTGTTACACCCCAAACCTCACGCATCGGACCTTCACCCTTTTCCCTCAACTGCATAAATCTGATGGTTCGTGTTTAAGGATTTGACATGTACTGTATTTGATTTGTCTGCGGTTTTCACATATCGGCTTGTCTCTGCCAGAGGAGACAGTTAAAATGGCAATGGTGGTCGGCGCTTTGTGCTGGATAACCCACTTGGATACCGCTGCTCCGACACTTCTTATCTTGCTTCATCTCTCGCACGTGCTTTCCACCTTTGCATCGGCCCCTGCCCCTGCTCTGCCTTGCACTGCCCTCCACTGCCCTGCACTGCACGCACAGAACACGGGGGTGCGCATGGTGATATCTGGTAGAAACGACTTCGTGGAGGGAACCAGAGACAGGTACGTGCCCTCCTGCCCCGCCTCATGCCGCATGTGCTGCGTGTCCTCCATTCCCAAGCCTTAAATACCCTTTTAGTGCCACCATTCGAGGTGGACCTTATTACCCGTGCTACTGTGCTATGCCTCACATGCTGCCTATGAGTGCATGTGCAGGAAGGTGACAATAACGGGGTCATCAGAGGGGGTGGTGGCGGCGCAGCACATGATCGCACAGAAGGTGCAGCAGAGCATTGCAGCGAGCAGTGGGGACCATCACCCCTCGCACAGTGGGGTGGACGACGGGCCGCCGCCTGGGCTGTAGGGTATAGCAGAGCTGTAGCACCCGTAGTGCTGCTTGGTGGGTTATAGGATTTGCTTTGCTTCTTTAGGAGGATGGGCATGTGTGGCTGTACGGCAAGTGTGAGCAAGCAAGCTTGTTTCATGGCGTGGGTAGAGAGATGATATGACAAGGCTGTGCATACCGTCATCGCCCTGATAGTAGACAGTGTCGAATAGTAGACAGGGGTTGTTCATTATCCGGGTGTGTTTTATAAACAGGCTAGCCTCATCATAAGACACCTATCTGTGTGTACGAGATAAGATATATGTGTCTTATAATCGAAACTGCAATATTTTTTAGTGAAACTTGACATACCGAGTACATTTTTACCTTAGCGATGTGCGAGTTCTTCCACGTGCTGACTCAGGTACTACCAGGGCTCAGGTTTGCAGTGTAATTTACCCTTCTATACTGATTACAAGGGTGAATTTTTGGGTCTACACTGATGTGCTGGGGTAATTTTTTGGTGAGTTAGTGTTACACTGATCTGTAAGTGTAATGATTTAGGCCACACTGATGCTCTGGGGTAATTTTTCCCTTAGCGAAGATTACCCTGAAGAGCGTACAGGGACTCCCCCCCCCCCCTCGGAAACTCTACTGATTGAGAAGAAGTTTCCTAGAACCTTCGTAACAATACACCCAATTTCGTAATGATGCACTACGACGCCAGCACACGTGAGTACTGACAACCGACACCGTGTCACTCCGTGTCTGCTTGCAACCTACCCGTTACTGTAGAGGCGATGCAACCTGATTGGTCGAAGCTGCACTCTCTGCAAGAACGTCAACTTTCTTGACTCGGAAATTTGGGACTCGAGGTTTCCGAACACACTCGAAATTTGCTGACTTGGCGAAAAATACAAGTGTTGCAGCGAAACCAGACAAGCCACTGCGCTCGACTTTTGAGTTCACATCACAACTCCCACCCACCAGCGCCCAACTTACGATAGTAATCGTGCGCGATTTGGGCCTCGAGCTTGATTGCAGCCAGCACATATTGAGCAGCCTAAAGTACAATCAGGGTTAAAAATATTCCTACACTGATGCCTCTGGGTAAAGTTTTCAAAACTTCAAGTTACACTGATCCATCAGTGTTTCCAAAAAGGGCACACTGCTCAGAAGGGTTTTGAAAATGTCTACACTGCTAATCGTGAGTAGGCAAAATCCAAACCTAAGCCCTGGGTACTACCAAATTTGCCTCTGCAAGTATTTTCCATGACGTGGCTTCCCAAACAATTGTTGCCGAAGTGGCACCTTTGCAACATCCACACTCATTATGAGAAACTCTTTTCAAGATATGTGAAAAAAATCTAAGTAGTTTAAAAAGTTTCTATTTATAAGGCTTATAAGACACCCCAAACCTGTTGGGCTGAGAAAAGCCCTTAGGATCTTTGCAGAACTAAACTATGAGTAGAACAATGTAATAGCGGAAACGTTTAATGAGAAGTAGGCCCCCAGAAGTCAGAGTTTTTTGTCTGATTTGCTTGTTTTAGTCTGAGATTTCAGATTTTTTTTAGGGTGTACTCTGTAAAATTCAGACTTTTTATTGCCTCAACTCTGTGAAAATCAGATTTTTTTATAGGCTGACTCTGACGTTTCAGAGTTTTTCGGGAGTGTACTCTGATGAATTCAGAGTACAAACGAGTTCTTGACTGGTGATTCGGACTTCACGGGTCACAGCAGATTCGCACTGTCAACGCAGAATCGCCTTGACACAGCAAATCCGCGCCTTTCAGCACAAAAATGTCGCCCAATCATAGCAAAGTCGCCCGGACGCCACAGATTTGCGTCGTCATAGCGCAACAATTTCGCCCAATCACCAAAGTTCGCGTCTGACAGTGCGGATTCGCCCTGTCACACCACTAGATTCGCCCAGCAAATGATTCGACCAACCACCACAAGATTCGCCCTCCCTGACACAAGATTCGCGTCTGACATTGCAGATTCGCCGAAATCCCCTTAGTCTAGTTTCGGTAACAGGTGCATGAACAATGAATACATTTCTGATGAACATTGAATACATTGATTTCGAATGTTCAAACTTTTTTTTTTAGACACTCTGAAATTTCAGCCTTATTTTAATACCAACTCCGAGAGTTTCAGACTAAATCTGTGTACTAGTCTGACGAATCAGACAGGCAAAAAACGAATCTGAGGGCCTGATGAGAAGTTTGTTAACCACCTTGCGCTACTATGTGAGGGCAAAGTAGATTGATTAAAACAGAGGGATACAAGCTTTTATAAGGATACAAGGGAATATGAAGGGTTATAACTAATAACTCTTTTGCTGTTGCTGTTGCGGTTTGATACCGTCCAGTGACGACTCGGGCAACTGCTCAATAGCGAGTGAGTTGTTTGTCCTTGCTGTCGCGCTGTACTTGTCAGGTCAAAGGTCGCTGACCTTTGACTTTCGCGTAACCTCCAGCAATTGTTCAACCTCCGAGGGTTGACTCGCTGATGCTTCGATATGTTTCACTTCACTTCTGACTTGGTGTTTCGACACGACAAAGGCGCTTAAGTTGTTTTTAACAAAACCATCCCAAATACAAGATAACACAAGCATTTTTTCTAGTGTACGAGATAAGACATATACGTATGTCCACTATCTGGGCGATGACGGTAACATAGGTCAGGCCCCATTGATGATTAGATGGGGTAGTTCACCTATACCTAGTAAACATGAGGTACGGTAATCTCAGCACATTGTTGACTTGACAGCTGATTGCAAATTACTAGAATGTTCCTGGTTGTTCATGAATGGCAAAGCATGGGTTTGACCCTTTGTGCCGAACCATGGTAGCAGTAGTCAACCTACAAGCAAGCCCTCAGATTCGTTTTTTGCCTGTCTGATTCATCAGACTAGTACACAATTTTAGTCTGAAACCCTCAGAGTTGGTATAAAAAAAAGGCTGAAATTTCAGAGTGCCTTAATAAAAAAGTCTGAAACATCAATGTATCTAATGTTTCATCAGAATTGTATTCAGTGCTTCATCTGATACTGAAACATACTAGAATAAGGGGATTTTCGGGAGACATGCTCTGACAGGGCGAATTTCTGTGTCAGGGCGAATCTTGTGGTGTGAAAGGGCGAATCTGCAATGTCAGGTGAAATTTCTTGGTGATTGGTCGAAATCATTGTGCTCTGACAGCGCAAATCCGATGTGTCAGAGCTATTTTGATGTGATTGGGCGAAAATCTTGTGCTGTAAGGCGCGGATTTGCAGTTTCAAGCCGATTTTGCATTGACCTGTGAAGTTCGAACCGAATCACCAGTCAAGAACACAAGCAGAAAATAGAATCGGTACGCGTTTGTACTCTGAGTGATCAGAGCACACTTCCGGAAAACTCTGAAACGTCAGAGTTAGCTCTAAAATTTCTCTGAAAATTACAGAGTTGGGGCCAAAAAATCTCTGATTTTAACAGACCTCACTTAAAAAAAAAATCTGAATTCTCAGAGTTTTTCATGCAAATCAGAGAAATTTCTCTGACTTCTGGGGGCCTGCCTACAAGTGTGATAAGATCTTATTATAGTAAATGTTATGAGAAAATACCGTAAGCCCTGGCTGGAAGATAGATAGTCATCATCAATCTATGAACCATATTGTAGAGAAGAGAGACACTTGGGGCAGACAGACACTCTAGTGGTGGTGAAGCTTCAACAGGCATAAAGTTGCTTCGAGTGAAGAGTTGTCGCTGGAAGGTGTCAGAGGTCCACTGGTGATCCCCGATCGATCCTAGGGAAGGGTTACAAGCACGTTTGCCTGGGGGGTTATGGGCGCACTGACCCGCTACTGTAACAAGCCCTTTTATCCCAATGGTCTAGTGGTTGGGATTCTGAGATGGTATCCAGAGCGAAGGTCTCGGGATCGAATCCTGGTGTATGCACTTTGGGCATCCCAGTGCGGGGGGGTGTCAGAGGTCCACTGGTGATCCCCGATCGATCCTAGGGAAGGGTTACAAGCACGTTTGCCTGGGGGGTTATGGGCGCACTGACCCGCTACTGAAACAAGCCCTTTTATCCCAATGGTCTAGTGGTTGGGATTCTGAGAGAAGGGAATTGGCGTTCAACGTTGGACTTGGAAGGAAACTCAATCTACCTTGGATCCTTGATGACTGCTGTGCTGTTGTGGGTACGGCTTTCGACCAGGTCCTCTTGCACGTTTAGCCATATGATTAGGCGAGCAGCAGTCTAAAAGAAATCTTTAGCAAAGGATTAACAGTACGATCTGTTGTTGTTCCTGCTAAAAACAAGGAGTTTCAAGAAATCCGACTCAAAAATCCACTCAAAGATTAAAACGAGGCAAACTAGTTTCGGGTGACAGGCAGGGTTCTCGCTAGGTTTAGGGCCTGTCTAACAAAACCCTCAAAAAAAATTTCCCCGTCTTAGGCTTTGACGACGAAATTTGTGTGGTCTGCAGTATAAGATGAAATATTTTTCCTAGTCTGATAAACTAGACGAAAAAAAAAACCAAGTCAGCCTACAAGAACACTACCTGCAATTATACTCATTCTATCAAACAACCTAGGCAGTAGCTAAGGACCTAGTCAGACTCACTAGAGCCGTAGTCCTCATTGCTATCACTACTACCATCCTCACTCCCCACGGGAACTGTGGCCCGTTCTTTCCTGGTAAGCCACGGGTACTCAACATCCATCCTTGCTGCTTCTGCTACCAGGGCCGCTTCTCGAGCAGCTGCTTCTGCTGCTGCCAGTGCAGCTGTTGCTGCTGCAGCTGCGGCCGATCTCTTCCTCGCACGCTTGCTCTGTCTCTCCCCGGACGCCAACAGCACATCGTTAGCAGGCCTTCGCTTCTTGGAAGCATTCCACCTCCTCAGCAACTCGGGCCACTCCATGTCGTAGTTAAGGAGCGACACAGCCATCAGCTCTCCCAGCTTCGCGTCGCACAGGTTCCCGCGAAGCCAACTCTTGATGATGTTTTGTCGTGAGAAGCCGCGCTCGCACTCGACGGTACTGAGCGGAAGC